CATATAATATCATACATTATTTATTATATTATCCAATCCATGGGATATAATATTATACATTATTTATTATAATATCCAATACATGGGATATAATATCATACATTATTTATTATATTATCCAATACATGGGATATAATATCATACATTATTTATTATATTATCTAATACATGGGATATAATATTATACATGGTTTATTATATATGTAATACATGGTGTATAATATTAAACATTATTTATTATATGTGTAATACATGGGATATAATATTATACATTATTTATTATATTATCTAATACATGGGATATAATATCATAGATTATTTATTATATTATCCAATACATGGGATATAATATTATACATTATTTATTATATTATCCAATACATGGGATATAATATCATACATTATTCATTATATTATCTAATACATGGGATATAATATTATCCATTATTTATTATATTATCTAATGCATGGGATATAATATTATACATTATTTATTATATTATCTAATACATGGGATATAATATCATACATTATTTATTATATTATCCAATACATGGGATATAATATTATACATTATTTATTATATTATCTAATACATCGCATATAATATCATACATTATTTATTATATTATCCAATCCATGGGATATAATATTATACATTATTTATTATAATATCCAATACATGGGATATAATATCATACATTATTTATTATATTATCCAATACATGGGATATAATATCATACATTATTTATTATATTATCTAATACATGGACTATAATATTATACATGGTTTATTATATATGTAATACATGGTGTATAATATTAAACATTATTTATTATATGTGTAATACATGGGATATAATATTATACATTATTTATTATATTATCTAATACATGGGATATAATATCATAGATTATTTATTATATTATCCAATACATGGGATATAATATTATACATTATTTATTATATTATCCAATACATGGGATATAATATCATACATTATTCATTATATTATCTAATACATGGGATATAATATTATCCATTATTTATTATATTATCTAATGCATGGGATATAATATTATACATTATTTATTATATTATCTAATACATGGGATATAATATCATACATTATTTATTATATTATCCAATACATGGGATATAATATTATACATTATTTATTATATTATCCAATACATGGGATATAATATTATACATTATTTATTATATTATCTAATACATGGGATATAATATCATCCATTATTTATTATATTATCTAATACATGGCATATAATATCATACATTATTTATTATATTATCCAATACATGGGATATAATATTATACATTATTTATTATATTATCCAATACATGGGATATAATATCATACATTATTTATTATATTATCTAATACATGGGATATAATATCATACATTATTTATTATATTATCCAATACATGGGATATAATATCATGCATTATTTATTATATTATCTAATACATGGGATATAATATCATACATTATTTATTATATTATCCAATACATGGGATATAATATTATACATTATTTATTATATTATCCAATACATGTATACATTATTTATTATATTATCCAATACATGGGATATAATATTATACATGGTTTATTATATGTGTAATACATGGTGTATCATATTATACATGGTTTATTATATGTGTAATACATGGTGTATAATATTAAACATTATTTATTATATGTGTAATACATGGGATATAATATTAAACATTATTTATTATATGTGTAATACATGGTGTATAATATTAAACATTATTTAGGGGGGCGGGGCCTGGCAGCCAAGATGGCCGGACGTGCACTCTAAGTGCTCCTGCACACATGCCTCTGAAATAAGCTTATATTGTGCACCATCACACCGCTGGAACCCTAATCCGAACTTCGGATAGCCAGGAACTGAGTGGGATCCTGTCGAAACACAATCTGGGACTTTCTGCTGCCTTCTGATACTGCAAACACATGTGGCCTAATCTGTCTGGCTGCCTGGCGACAGGGGGATACGGCCGACCCCCCGACACGGAGCCAGCTCAGCATGACAACCATTATGCAGCCCCACAACCACCCCTATGGACCGGTGGGGGATATCCCGGTCCCCACTGGAGGCACTTACCGCTCCCCTGCTACAGACTCTCCGAGTGGTCCAAACACCGCATGGCAGGCCCAACATGATAGCTGCACCTCAACACGCTCCCATACTGGAGAGCACGTCACTTCAGACTTGGAAGGAAAACTTTGACACGCTTTGAACAGCTATGTCAAGAATTCTGGAGGCGAATCGAGAGCCAAAACTCTTCAATCACCCTGTCAGTGGAATCTCCTACCCAGACCTCCAGACTGGAGCGCCGACCCCACTCCAGGGTGGGAACCCACGTGGAGGCACTACTTACTGATCGCCCAATCCCACGACGTGCTCTCCGCACTCCAAAGATCTCACGGGTCCGCAAACCTACCGCATGCCGCAGGAAGATCCCTGGAGATGCTGATAAAGCTCCCATTAAAGCATGGCATTCAGGAGCTTCAGAGCAAACTACTCCAGACACGCAAGCAGGAAGCCTGGCTGAAGGGAGAGCACAACATGGAGGCACATACCGATACTAGTCCAAGCAGGGCTACAGACTATCTAGCATGGCCTACACGTGGTGTGGGGTAGACCTGAGACATAGTCCTCCTGTTAATCAACAGCCACTCCCGTTAATGCAGGGACATATTGCCTCTTCATATTGCTTTCACCTCTCTGCCTTTTCTTTTATGTTCTTCTCTTTTCTCTTTAGTTTAACTACCTGACTGGTGAGGTGAACCCCAGCGGCACTCAAGCTTACTAGCTATCGCCGGCTGAGTTTGCAGCTGCTTAGTGTAGCTTAACACAGAGCTGGCTCATCATAGAAATGAGTTAATATCTCAGTAACATAAGCATGTTTCACAACCTACCTTAATACTTTTATTACCATGTCTATGACTTTGCATAGCTTAGTATCTTTCTTAATAGTTAATCTAGACATGTTATGTGTAGCCTGTACTTTACATAGCATTTAAAAAATTGTGCGGTATATCCAAATGCCCTGTAACTATTATGTGTGGCGGAACAGACCTCGCCACGTGTTCTTGGAGGGGGCTGCTTGCCCGCCTCCTACCTTCTGACTATGGCCCTGGGATATATGGCATTTGAAAACACTATTTGTGCCCTGTGACAAAACTGGAGATTGTGCACAAATATGACTATTGTCCATATTTTTTATGATTCCCTTTGTTTGTTGCACTGTTCCCCATGTGTTTCATCTGTTGGTTCGGCTGGATAGACTACCAGACAAACTGTGGAATTACTGGGTGGCCACCACTTCATGTATCAGAGACACATGGTGAGAACAATGGATGAAGCACATGGTGAGAACAATGGATGAAGCACATGGTGAGAACAATGGATGGTGGCCATTTTAACTCACAGACACTGTTTGGACTTTTCAACACGGTGCCATCTCACCAGTATTTGGTGCACAGAGACATCGTGCAGTGGTTTTGGACTATACAGCAGGGGACACATTATACAGTGATTGGTTTTTATTTAGCCTGCATATGTTCTGCAGAATCTGCATTAAACTGTATCTTCCAAAGTACTGAACGGATCTGGGTGAATTTTGGATATGTGGTTCATATGGGTGGGTTATTGCATGTTTTGGGGTCCCTGTGATATGTTTTATAATACTGTGTTTCTCTGCCTGTGATAATTATATTACCCATTGTGTTCAGTAATCATATCACAGGCGAGGGGAGGATTTTGTGTGGGAGTGTCTGTGTGTATTGTACGGATTGATTGGCTGTGTTTCAAAACCCTGTGGGCTGTACTATGTTTGTGGATTGTGAATAAAAGAGGCTGTATGTGCCAGTACAGTCAGTTCTGCTTGACCTCAAAACGAAGTGTGGTCTCGTTATTGGGGGATTGGATTGTATGTTGATTGCCAGGAGTGTAAGCTGATTGTATGCTTTTCCTGTTCAGCTGCTTACAGCATTCATATGCTTGAGAGCATTCATATGCTTCTCCGGTTCGGTGGTTATGGTGTCTGCTGCAGTGCTTGGAGTCCTCAGGAAGCGCTAGGAGCATCCTTCAACAGAGGTACCCAGTCGGGGTGCCAGGTGATCCGTTACATTATGCTTTGTCGTAAACTGTCTTGCAAATGCTGCTAGGGCATTGTACAACTGTCTGTTAATCATAAGCACACAAAAAATAAAGTATTATAAAAAAAAAAATATTAAACATTTTATTTGTGTAATACCAGGAATATAATATTATACATTATTTATTATATGTATAATACATGGGATATAATATTAAACATTATTTATTATATGTGTAATACATGGTGTATAATATTAAACATTATTTATTATTTGTGTAATATATGGTATATAATATTAAACATTATTTATTATATGTGTAATACCTGGTGTATAATATTATACATTATTTATTATATGTGTAATACATGGTGTATAATTTTATACATTATTTATTATATGTGTAATACATGGGATATAGTAATATACATTATTTATTTTATAATGTAATACATGGGATATAATATTGTACATTATTTATTATATGTGTAATACATGGTGTATAATATTATACATTATTTATTATATGTGTTATACATGGGGTATAATATTATACATTATTTATTACATGTGTAATAGATGCTATATAATATTATACAGGGTTTATTATATGTGTAATACATGGTATGTAATATTATACAGGATTTATTATATGTGTAATACATGGGATATAATATTATACTGCATTTATTATATGTGTAATACATGGTGTATAATATTATACATTATTTATTATATGTATAATACATGGTATATAATATTATACTGGATTTATTATATGTGTAATACATGGTATATAATATTAAACATTATTTATTATGCATGTAATCCATGGGATATAATAATATACATTATTTATTATACATATAATACATGTTATATAATATACTGGATTTATTAAATTTATAATACTAGGTATATAATATTATACTGGATTTATTATATGTGTAATACATGGGATATAATATTATACATTATTTATTATACATGTAATACATGTTATATAATATACTGGATTTATTAAACTTATAATACTAGGTATATAATATTTTACAGGATTTATTATATGTGTAATTCATGGTATATAATAATAATAATAATATATAGGGTTTATTAGGCTCTTTTTTTTGTTTTTATATGTTCTTTATTTTTGCAGGCAAGCATAAACATAGCGGTACATCATGTGAGTATAGAAAATCAATCAACAGATATACACTTTGTCATGGATTAAATCGCAATTAAAAGAAAGAACCATTTTTAAATTTGAGTTAAACGTAAATCCCTCTTATCAGCATCATAGCGTAGTCCTAGTATGGGACAGAGGTTGCTTGTTGGAAGCTTGGAGCGCCCCTCGGGTAACTATGAGGAGCGCGTCGTGTTACATCTGGATCTAAGGCACGTATTGGGCTCTAATTTTATTTTATTTTTAAATACTGGTATCAGCTATTTTTAAAAACTCTCACTAACTTTTCTGCTTTCTGTATCCCGGGTCCCCAGTTTTTATATTCAAAATATAGAGGTAACAAAATAGTCTGCTTGAAAAAAATTGGGCAAAAACCAAACAAGTCTGTACTGTTTAGCCACAGAGCAGAGTATTTTATCATAACTGGACAGCATGAACAGTATCCCTGCTTTGCACATTAACATTAAATGCCTGCTTGTTCATAAGTGTTTTAAAAACACTATCTTTATTTTTTAGGAGATCTGAAGGTTTTCCACACTCCACAACTTGTCCCTGATTAAGGACAGCAACACATTGCGCATTCTTGATTGTGGACAATCGATGTGCAATGATGAGAACCGTCCGCCCATACATGAGCCGATCCAGTGCTTCCTGAAGTAGGGATTCATTTTCAGCATCCAGTGCACTTGTTGCTTCATCCAGAAATAGAATTTTAGGGTTCTTAAGAAGTGCCCGTGCTATGGCGATTCGTTGTTTCTGCCCACCTGAAAGTAGTACTCCTTTCTCACCTACTAATGTGTCAAATCCATTTGGAAAGCTTTCGATGAAGTCCAAAGCGTTAGCAATTTTTGCAACGTGGCGAATGTCTTCTTTTGTGACTACGGAGGGATCCTCAGCACCATAGGCAATGTTTTCAAATATAGAACATGAGAAAAGTATTGGCTCCTGGCTAACAGTTCCAATCTTTGTCCGTAACCACAGAGGATTCAACTGGCACACATCATGACCATCAATATAAATGGATCCAGAGTTGGGATCATACAGTCTTAGTAGTAACGAGACAAGTGTTGATTTTCCAGATCCACTTGGGCCTACGACTGCCGTGACCGTACCGGACGGAATGGAGAGGTTGAGGCCAGAGAAAACTGAAGCATTGGGACGACTTGGGTAGGTGAAGCAGACATTGCGAAACTCCAGGGAGCCTTTAAACACTTCAGGGCTTAATACCAAACCCTCATTGAAAGGCAACAAAGGTTTTCTTTCAATAAGCTCCCAGAGACGGCTTCCAGCACCAAATCCCTTCATTAACTCTGAATAGAATGAGCTAATCCCTCCAATACTTATTCCTACCCAGAAGGCATACATGAGAAAGGATGAGAGCTCCCCCACTGTCATATGTGCAGCTCCTGTTAGTAGCCCCCCTTTATATAGAACTGCCAGAATAATCATGTTCCCAGACAAACCAGTTAGTCCAAAGAAACCAGCCTGAGCGATAGCCTCCTTATCGGCTAAATCGAGCACACGATCTACTTTACTGTTGTACTTTTTCATTTCAAGCATCTCCTTCCCAAAGGCTCGGACTGTTCTTATGCTACCAATACGCTCTTCAGCTAACTGAGTGGCTTCTGCGAGTGAATCTTGAGTCAATTTAGAAAGTTTTCGCAGGTATTTTCCATATAATACTGCTACAATTGCAAGAGGGGGTACAACGCCCAAAACAAAGATTGCAAGTTGTGGGGAGACAAAAAACATCATGCCAACGCCAACAAATGCCTGAGCTAAGGCGCGTAGGCCATCTGAGAGGTTCTCTGTAACAGATCGGCCGAGGATCACACTGTCTGAAGACAAACGGTTAATCACTTCTCCAGTCCGAGTCTTGTCAAAGAATCCTACTTCCTGTTGCAAAAGGGAGGAGAACAGGGAAGAGCGAAGCCGTCGCACAATACGTTGTCCTGAGATTTGCATGAAGTATACACGAAAAGCATTAGCAGCAGCCCCACAAAGGAAGACTCCACTAAGCAAGGTACATAAAGAAGTAAGGCTGGAGGTAAGGTCCTCCGTTGGATTGGAATATATGACGTCAATGACTTTACCCAGGAAAAATGGTGCAGACATGGTAATCATACTGGATATTGCAAGGAATCCCACAGCAGCTGATAACTTCCACTTTTCCGGAGAAGCCAGTGAAATAAGTCTTTTCATGTCATCTGCTGCAAGGGTTCCCTTTTTAGATTCTTGGAGATCTTTCGATCTAATCTCACTTTCTTTTCCATCCTCTGTCTGGGACGAAAACGAACGGCTCTTCCTCGCCGGAAACGCTGCTCTGGCCTCACGAATAACAGAAGCAGGCAATCGGACTTGCCGCGGGGAACCCACGAACATTCTTGCTGACAAGGTGGACACTGGGTTGGTCGGCTTCAATAGCCCGGGGTAACATTTTGGTGTCTGTCTGCTCTGTGACACTTTAACAGTCACTGTTCTGTAACATGCTGCCGGAAGTATACTCTGCTGGTTTCTCATGCCATAAAATGTCCTGTACCCTGCTCCAGGCATGTGCAGGAGCCACAGAGAGGCGCGTAGCATTTCTGGTAAATCCCAACAGCAGTTAAAATAGTAGAAACAAATATCCGTGTTACAGCAAGGGGGAGGGGGTAAAAAAAACTACAAATTCCCAGGGAAGATTGTCCAAAAAAACCTCACATAATATTTATGGTGGTGAAGGTATCCATGGTTCATATTATCTTGCAAAATGAAGTGTCCAAGGGCCCAGAACAGTCCTCCCGGGTAGAAGCTCTGAAGGTCAGTAATTAGAGGGTCACCTCGTGCTAGTTTCACCCATGTAGTCGATTCACTGATGTGTTGTTTGCGTAAGCTTTGCAGTGTCTGTGTAAGGCTGATTTCCATTCAGTATCTTCCTTACCATAACCCTTACCCATGCAGCTTTCCTCCCCTGTGGCTGAAGTTCTCAGATAAGCATACACTCCTCCCTTCTTCTTGGGGTGTGTGATGTAAAGGTTTTGCTTATGTCAGTACTGTATTAGCTATATAGGGTTTATTATATGTGTAATACATGGTGTATAATATTATACAGGATTTATTATATGTGTAATACATGTTGTATAATATCATACAGGGTTTATTATATGTGTAATACATGGTGTATAATATTATACAGGGTTTATTATATGTGTAATACATGTTGTATAATATTATACAGGGTTTATTATATGTGTAATACATGGTGTATAATATCATACAGGGTTTATTATATGTGTAATACATGTTGTATAATATCATACAGGGTTTATTATATGTGTAATACATGGTGTATAATATCATACAGGGTTTATTATATGTGTAATACATGTTGTATAATATTATACAGGGTTTATTATATGTGTAATACATGTTGTATAATATCATACAGGGTTTATTATATGTGTAATACATGGTGTATAATATTATACAGGATTTATTATATGTGTAATACATGTTGTATAATATCATACAGGGTTTATTATATGTGTAATACATGTTGTATAATATCATACAGGGTTTATTATATGTGTAATACATATAATATAATATTATACTGCATTTATTATATGTGTAATACATGGTGTATAATATCATACAGGGTTTATTATATGTG